GAAGGGATCAGATGGAATGGAATGGAATGGGGTGAGGATTGGGATTGGGGTGAAACAGGGTCAGGGATGGGATAAGGACTGGGATGAGATGGTGATGGGTACTGGGTGGGGATGAGGTGAGATGAGGATGAGATGGGATGAGATTGGGATGGGGATGAGATACTGACAGGTTGAAAATTGGGATGGGGATGGTGATGATAATGAGGTGGAATGGAAATGGAATAGGGATGGTGATGGGATTGGGATGAGGATGGAATGGGGACAGGGATAGGGTGGGAATTGGGATGAGGACGGGACTACGGCTGGGTCTGGGGTCAGGGATGGGGACAGGGATGTGGACAGAGATGGGCACAGACCTGGCTCCCCTCCTTCTGCCAGAAGACAGCGGGCGGTGGGTTGCCCTTGCTCTGGCACTGGAAGGTCACGCTCTGGCCAGGGGTGACAGCCTGGTCGCGGGGCCCAGTGACGAGCTGGGGGGGCACTGCCACAGTGTGGGGAGAGACAAGGGCTTGCCCAGGCACTCCACCAGCACCCAAGGGTGCTCCCCAGGGCCCCCCTTACCGTGCACAGTGAGGGTGCCAGATGCCTCTGACCTGCCTACGCTGTTATCAGCCACACAGGTGTAGGTGCCCTCGTCCTCTGCTCGCAGCCGGCTGATCCGCAGGGTGTTGTCTGGCAGCACCTCCCACCTGGGGAACCCCGTGAGGATGTAGCACCAGCAGAGTGCCGGGGCACCAGGACAGTGTGAGGTGCCAAGGGGTTGGGATGCAGTGAGGATGTGGGATGTGATGAGGATGTAGGCACAACAGGCATCTGGGATGCAAAGAAAATGAGGGATGCATTGGGGATGTGAAATGTGGTGAGGATGTGGGATGTGATGGGGATATGGGATGCAACGGAGAAGCAGGATGCAATGAGGACTTGAGGTGCAATAGGGATGCAGGATGTGCTGAGGATGGAGGGTGCACCGGGGATATAGGATGTGATGGGGTACGTGATGTCATGGGGATGCCAGGCTGGCGCACAGTAATGCCACCCAGCTGCACTGCAGAGCCCTGCACCGATGGCCCCAGGGCCCTGCATCAGCCCTCTCACCCCCTGCTCACCTTCCCAGTGGCATCTCGCCCTCCTCCTTGTGCCACCGTGCCGCTGGCTGGGGATCCCCCACCGCCTCGCAGGCGAACTCTGCTGTCCCCTCCACCAGCACTGCCTGGTTCAGGGGCCTCTTGCCGAACGCCGGGCGCTCTGTGGGGCAGCTGTCAGTCCCACTGGGATGTCTCCACCCCTCAGCACCCCAAACATTGCACCCCACGCACCAAAGACCACCAGCTCGGCCGGCTCGCTGTCCCTCTCCCCCACCACGTTGGTGGCCACGCAGACGTAGACACCGGCGTCGCTCTTGCGGGTACTGGCCACCATCAGCTTCCCTCCACGGATCTGGGGGAAGCACATCACATCCCCCATCCCCATCAAATCCAGCATCCCCATTGCATCCTGCATCTCCACTGTATCTCATACTCCCACTGCATCCCAAATCCTTATTGCACCTCCCGTCCTGACTGCATTCCGTATCTCCATCACATCCCATATCCTGGCTGCATCTCACATTCCCATTTCACTTACACCCTCATCACATCCCATATCTCCATTGCATCCCAAATCTCTGATGCATCCCACATCCCCATTCCCACATCCCCATCTCATCCTGCATCCCAGTCACATCCCACATCCTCATTGCATCCCAACTCTCCGCTGCATCCCACATGCCCCTCGCATCCCCATCATATCCCACATCCTCACTGCATCACACCCTCATCACATCATACGTTCCCATTGCATCCTCATTGCATCCCCCATCCCCATCACGTCCTGTATCTCCATTGAATCACAGATCTCTGTTGCTTCCCCCATCCCCATCACATTCCACTTCTCCATCGCCTCCCCATCACATTCTGTATCCTCACTGCACCCACATTCCCACCGCATCCCATATCCCCATCGCATCCCCATCGAATCAGGTACCCCCATCACATTCCACACCCTCATTGCAACCTTAATCTCCGTTTGCATCCTGCATCCCCATCGAATCCCGCATTCCACATCCCCATCCTGTATCCCTCTCACATCCCACGCTCCTGCTGCATCCTCTATCCCTACCTTATCCCACACCCCCATTGCGACACCCCCGCCCCGGTTTTGTGCCCCCCGCCCCGTCCCTCACCGTCAGGTGCTCGTCCTTGTCGCTGAGCCGGACTCCGTTCTTCTTCCAGGAGACGCTGGGCTCGGGATGGCCGCGGGGCGGGACACACTCCAGCACGGCCGGGTCTCCCGCCGCCACCACCACATCCCCCGGGGGCTGCCGAAAATCGTCCCGCAGCACTGGGGGGACACACCAGCCCGGCCTCAGCTCCCCAGCCCTGGGAGTGGCGCCTGGGACACCGTCTGCATTGGCTTTAGCTGATTTTAGTTTATCTTCATTGATTTTACTTGATTTTCAAACGTTTTCAGTTATTTTCATTTGGTTTTATTTTGTTGCAATTATTTTTGTTTATTCTCATTTTCATTTGTTTCCAAGTATTTTAACTTCTTTTAATTTCTTTTGTGTTCTTTTGTTGTTATTTTTACTTATTTTCACTTCTTTTCAGTGATCTTCACTTCTTTTCATCTATTTCCAATTATTTTGATTTTTTCATTATTTTTGTTCTTCTTCACTTATTTTCACTTATTTTATTTTTTCATTTATTTTCACTTCTTGTCACTTCATTTCATTTCTTTTTTCCCCCCCACGTTTTAATGTCTTTTCTCCTACTTTCATTCATTTTCACTTACTTTCATTTTACTCTTTCCATCTACTTTCACTCTACTCTTTCCATCTACTTTCACTCATTTCCTCCTTTTTTTTTTCATTTCTTTCTCCTCGGTTTCATTTATTTCCAATGTTTTTCGCTTCTTTCGAACTCACTCAAATTTCTTTCCATTTCTCTTCACTTATTTATTTCCAAATACTTCCTTTTCCCTTCTTTTCACTTATTTTCCTTGCTTTTATCTCTTTCCCCCTCTTTTCCCTTGGCAGCGCCACGCCCGGGGATGTGAGAGCCCCTGGTTCCACAGCCACCGGAGCGGGTTGGTGACACCAGACCCCTAAACCCCCACCCAAATCACCCCTCAGCCCCTCTCCCTCTCCCCAGGACTCACCGGCCACCGCCAGGGAAGCGTTCCGGCTGGTGGCCTCCCCCAGGTAATTCCTGGCCACGCAGACATAGACCCCCTCGTCGGGCTTGCCCCGCCGCCCGTGCAGGATGCGGAGGAAGAAGAGGGAGCCGCCGGGCAGGAGGGTGCGGTGGGAGCGGGGATCCTCCCGGTCCGTCTCCACCCGCTCCCCGTCTTTGTACCACTCCACGGCCGGGGCCGGCCGCCCCTCGGCCTTGCAGCTCAGCGTGGCCGGTTCCCCTTTGGAGACCAGGAGATCCGTGGGGTGCTCCACGATGCGGGGGGCCGTGTCCTCCAGCTGAGACTGGGACCCTGCGGGAAAAATTAGGGGCGTGGGGAGGTGGGGTTTGTGAGGGCTGAGCATCATCCGCGCTTTCCTGGCTCCAGCCCCTGCTTTGCTTGGAGAGCAGGAGATGAGATGAAGTGTGGCGAGGTCTCAGCCCCGTGTATCCCCTCTGCCCCATCCCAGGGTGGGTGCCGGTGGGGAGGGAGCGGGCTCAGACAGGGACAGTGGGACAAAGCAGCTCCGCTGCCGGTAATGGCCCTTTTCCACCCAGTTTCCGACTGGGCATCCCTGTGGAAATGGAGTTGTGGCTAAATTCTCCCCCAAGCAGGGATTTTTCCATCATCTGCAAGTGTTGATTTTCCGTAGCAGAGCCAGTAACTCCAGGCTGCAGGAAACACTTAAATTCAAGTTTAAAAAAGCCCCATGTTGGGTCTGCGGGGCCGTTGCAGGAAAATTCCCCCCCGCTGGGGCATGGGAATTAATGGATGCTCATTAATGCCGGCATAATTAATGCTCGTTAATGCTGGGGCCGGCTGGGCTGAACCCCGCGTGTCCCCAGCGCCGCCCGGGCTGGCTCGGCAGGTCGGTCCCCAAGTGTCACCGTGTGTCACCGTGTGCACAGGCACACACACGCCTGCACACACGTGTGTGTGTAGTTACAGACACACACACTCCGGCACACACATGTGCTTTCAGGCAGGGGCGTGTGTGTCCTTACACAGGCACACGCATGTGTAGGCATGCAGAGGGACACACGCACGTATGTATGCACATACTCGTGCATACATGCACACTGCACATGCGTGCACACAAATGCACACTGCACATGCACACACATGCACACTGACATACATGCACACATGCACACTGCACATGCGTGCACACAAATGCACACTGCACATACATGCACATAAATGCACACTGTGCATACATGCACATCATGCACACCACACATACATGCACATACATACACAGATGCCTGCACATACATGCACATACATGCACACTGCACATACATGCACACACATGCACACTGCACATGCATGCACACAAATGCACACTGCACATGCATGCACATACATGCACACTGTGCATACATGCACATCATGCACACACATTCACATACATGCACACCACACATACATGCACATGCATACACACATGCCTGCACATACATGCACACGCATGCACAGGTGTGTCTCCTTTCTCCTGCCCCTGCCCCAAGTCTTGTGGCGGGATGTAAGGGGGGGGCTGCAATTTGGGGAGCCCGCGGGGTTGCCATGGGGACAGGATGTGGCTGCCATGGGGACGGGAGGGATGCTGCGGGGTACCGGGTACCCCCGGGGGGCACAGCGGGGACTGAGGGGGCCGCAGCTGGGCCCGGTGGCTAATTGGGATGAGCGGGGGGTCAGGCCAGACCCCCTCCTGTGCCCAGCCGGCTGTGCGGGGGCGGGGGTCCCGCGGGGTTTGGGGACACCCCCTCCCTCACCAGCCACCCAGAGCCAGATGGAGGGGGACGTTCAGACCAAAAAAGAGGGGAAAAGCCCAAAATGGGGTTAAAATTCAGGCAGACACCCCCTCCCTCATCTCCTTCCCCCACCGCTGCTCTGTCCCAGCTAGGGGACACGGGGCTGGTTTGGGGACACGGAGAGAATTAGGGGACATGGACCTGGTTGGGGGACACTGGGATGGTTTAGGAATGTAGAAATAGTTTGGGGACACAGGACTGGTTTGAGGACATGGAGTCTCTCCCAATTCGGTGTCTGGGAGTTGGTTTGGGGACACAGGGGCAGCCTGGGGACATGGGACTGGTCCTCGTTCAGAGACTGAGTTTGGGCGTGGGGACAGAGGGACTGTTTGAGTACACTGAGTCACCCCCACTTTGGAGTCTGGAGATTGGTCCGGGGACATAGGACCAATTTGGGAATGACATGTCTGTCCCAGCTCGCAGTCTGGGCATTGATGTAGGAACACAGGGACAGTTTGGGAATGGGGACTTCTCCTGCATCAGAATTGGGAACACAGAGCTAGTTTGGGGACATTGGGTCAGTCCTGACTTGGGGACAGCAGTCTGGTCTCGGTTTGGGGCCATGGACACTGTCTGGGGATGTAGCATCACTCCTGGGAGTTGGTCTGGAGACAAGGAGCCGGTCCCGGAATGGGGACGTGGGGCTGATGTGGGAAGACAGGGTCAGTCCTGGACTCGGGACACGGGGCAGGTCCCACTTTGGGGACACAGGGACGGTTTGGGGGCATCAGCTCCATCCCGAAGTTGGGACGTGGGGCAGGTCCCGGTTTGGGGACATGGGGCAGGTCCCGGTTTGGGGCCACGGGGCCAGGTTGGGAGCCCAGTGTCGGTGCCGGCGGGGTCCCGGCTGGGGCGGGGGGGCTGCGGGCTACTTCCAGCATCCTGTCTGGACCAGAAGTGGGAACCCCGGGACGGGAGGACAGCGGGACCGGGGGCCACGTACAGGGACCGGGGGCCACGTACCATTACCGGGGGTGAGATCGGGCAGGTGGAGCGCAGCGATGGAGCGGTTGATGCCGAGCAGGAGCGAGGAGGAGGAGTTGGAGCCTTCGGCCCCCAGCGAGTCGGCGAACAGGTTCATCTGCAGCAGCGTCTTCAGCAGGTACCGCAGCATCCTGCCAAGGCTCGGCTCAGCTCGGCTCGGCTCCTCTCAGCACCACACGACCCGGCACGGCTAAGACCGGCTCAGCTCAGCTCGGCTCAGCCCAGACCGGCTCAGCCCGGTCCGGTTCAGCTTAGCTCGACTCGGCTTGCTAGGGCTCGGTCGGCCAGCCAGCCCAGCTCAAGCCCGGCCCGACTCCGGCTCAGTCCCCCATCCGCGCTTCAGCCCGGCCTCGGCTCACTCCGCTCGCCAGCTGCGGCACCGCTCCCGGGTGGGGAGCGCCAGGCTGCTGGGCGGTGGAGATGGGGTGTCCCGGTGTACCCCCCTCCTCCCTGAGAAGCGGGATGAGTGGCAGGAGGGGGTGTGTCCCGCACGGGGTGGGGACTCCACGGTGGAGGGGAATGGGGGTGACTTTTGGGGGAGCAAAGGAAAAGGGGAATCCTCGGATTGGAGGGAGCAGAAGGAGGAAGAGGGGCAGCAGCTCCCTGGCTTCACACCAGAGTAGGTGACACCACACAGGGCTGCTGTCACCCTCCACTCGGGACCCTCCTCAATGAACCCCAAAAGGCAGCGTCACCCACACACCCCCGGGGAACCGCGGCTGCTCGGGGGGGCCACGTACCCCAACCCCGGGGGGCGCTGGCAGGGGTGAGGGCACTTCGGGGGTGCTGGGAGCACCAGTGGCCTTGAATTTGCGGGGAGGAAGGGAACACACAGGAATCGGCACATGATGCCATTGAATCCGTAATTAGCAATTGGCCACTTAATTAATGCGCTGGGGCTGATGTGGGAAGCAAAGAGTCTCCTCCAGCGAGCCCTCTGTAGGGGGGAGGGAGTTTAGGGGGGGTCCATTATAGGGGGGGTTGTTATTTAGGGGTGTTCTTTAATAGGAGGCTTTATTAGGGGGATTTGTTAAGGGGGGGGGTGTTACAGTGGCACTTGGAATGGGGCAAAGGTGGGGAGAAAGGGGGAGTCAGGAGTGTGGGGAACCCGGAGGGGCTTGGGGGGAGAGAGGAGGTGTGGAGGAGAAGGGGTGATGGGGAAGGGTGGGGGACACACATCTGGGTGTATACATCTGGGACAGGGCGAGGGAGAAGGCACTTCACATCTGGATGCACAGCAGCAGAGGAAACGGGCCCAAGCACGTTTGCACATCTGGGCGGGGGGAGGCAAATGTGCCCCAAAGGGAGTTCACATCTGGAGGACTCTTGGAACACAGCTGGGGAGAGGGGAGGCTTTTCCACGAACATCTGGGGCACCAAGGATCTCGGTGATGTTCACATCTGGGAGGGCTGGATGGTCTGGGGGATGCACATACGTTTGGGCAAACAGCTGGAGGGCTCCCCAGGGTCACAGCTGGGCACACAGCTGAAGGCACAGCGATGCTCAAGCACATCTGGAGAGACGGATGGTTTCTATTTGTGCACATCTGGAGGCGTAAGTAGGAGGTAGGTGAGTGCACATCTGGACAGCTTGCACATCTGGAGAGCTTGCACAGGCTTGCTTCTCTCTCAGAGCTGTGCTGGGGCCTCAGACAGGCACACATCTGGACTCCTGTGCACATCTGGGACCATTCAGCCTCACCAGCACCCTCTGGGCTCTCCATATCCCACCGAATCTGTCAGATCCAAAGCTCCTATCTGGGTGTCCAGGGGGTGATGCATTATTCATCCATCCCTCTCAGAGCTGGGCACGGAGAAAGTAAATAAATATTAATTTAATAGGAGCACAAAGCTTTTCCGTTTCTCCTGCTGGGGATGCAGCAGCCCAGGGATTTCTCAGTAGGATCAAAAAAAAAAAAAAAGTAAAGAAAAAAAAAAGGAGAAATAAATTATCCGTAGAATAACAGGTTTATCCAACTATTATCTGAATAATTCTCCGGGATGGGAGTTGATGGCAACGCTGGAATATTAAAAGCTGCTCTGTTTCCCCACCTTCCCGTTTTGGAGAGCTGAGCCAAGGGATGGGACATCTTCGACACGGGACTACAGGATGGAAAAGGATGTTAATCCCTGGACAGCTTTTGGGCCCCTTTTCATGGAGTGCCTGGAAGACGGGAGAGTTTTTAACGGGGATCCTGGAGGTTTTGGGAGCCCCAGGGATTAAAGCACCTCTGTATTAATCCCGCTATGAGTCCTGAGGCTGCATCGATGGGCTCCCGGGGGTGACACACGCATCCAGTACCTCCTCTGAGACAGCTCGGGATGGGGAATGGAGACAAAGGAGCCGCCTCATCCCGATGGATAATCCCCCTCAGATTCATCCCCGTTAATCAGCTGGGCAAACACCGAGCGCGGGGGCATTGCCTCCTTGTTAGCAGATTTATTCTCGCCGCCGCGGCGTTTAATTGCCGCTTGATTCGGCGATTAGTGGTTGTTTGCCCAGGCTTTGCCCAAATCACACCCCCCCCAAACTTTTTAGGTGGGGGAGAGGCTTCCTCCACACTTCGTTGTCCTCATTATTCCTCCCTATTTTTGCTGCTTCCTTACTCCTCCTGAATCTTCTCGACCCTCGCCGGGCAGCAGCGGGTGGGGAAACTGAGGCACGAAGACCGTAATGAGGAGCGACAAGATATTTGTCTGGGCAAATGAGTGGCTGAGCCCCCCTTCCCGCTGCCCGGGGGGAATCCCTGGCAGCCCCGTTATTAGCATTTCCCCCGGGAGCCCCCACCCCGAGCTGGGCGCTTGGCCGGAAAACGCGGCTTTTTG